TATTTTTTTTTTTTTTTTTTTAGTAGAAATAGGGTTTCACCATATTTGCCAGACTCTTCTCAAATGCCTAGGTTCAAGCAATCCACCCACCTCAGCCTTCCAAAGTGCTGGGGTTACAGGCATGAGCCACCATACCCGGCTACAAGTATTCTTATAAAAGAGAGCCCGGGCTGGACGTGGTGGCTCACGACTATAATCCTAACACTTTGGGAGGCCGAGGACGGTGGATCACCTGAGGCTGGGAGTTTGAGACCAGTGTGATCAGTATGGCAAAAGCCCGTCTCTACCAAAAGTACAAAAATTAGCCGGGCGTGGTGGCGCACGCCTGTAATCCCAGCTACTTGGGAGGCGGAGGCAGGAGAATTGCTTGAAGCCAGAAGGCAGAGGTTGCAATGAGCTGAGATCGTACCACTGCACTCCAGCCTAGGTGACAGAGTGAGACTCTGTCTCAAAAAAAAAAAAGAGAGAGAGAGAGCTGGGGAAGTGTGGCAGGAGAGAGAGAGAGAGAAGGTAAAGTGGAGATGGAGGCAGAGGATGGATTGTTGTAGCCTCAGGCTAAGGAATGCTGGCGGGCGGAAGCTGGAAGAGGTGAGGAATGGGCTGTCCCCCAGAACCTCTGGAGGGAGCAGGGCATCTGAACTTTGGCCCAGTGAGGCTGATGTGGGCCTCCTGGCCTCCACGGTTTCTCCCGTGTTTCTGCAACTTGCTGCAGCATCCGCAGGAAGTGAACACGCAGGCACACAGCAGCCCACTTTGGCTGAACCACGTTGCATTTCCACCGCACTGTGTGCGAGTTCTGCTTGTTCTGCAGCCTCACCAGCACTGGGCCTTTCCCATCCTTTCCATGTTAGCCTTCCAGGAGGATCTGTGATAGTAAGTGGACAGGAAGCATCATCCCCATATTTCAGATGGGAACACTGAGGGTCAGGGAGTGACTTGGTGAGAGTCACCGACAGTAGGTGACAGAGCCCTAGAGGCAGTTCTGACAGATGGCCCGACTTCATTGGAAGCAGCCTAACTGTCCTGTAGGAGAGGCTTGGTTTAGCCAATCCCAGTAGAGCCAGGCAATAGAAGACTACCTAGCCACTAACAACAGATATGCAACCGCGTGGAAAGGTAGTTACGCTCTATTGGGGAGGAAAAATAAAAGCAGATGGCCGGGCGTGGTGGCTCATGCCTGTAACCCCAGCACTTTGGGAGACTGAGGCGGGTGGATCACCTGAGGTCAGGAGTTCAAGACCAACCTGGCCAACATGACGAAACCATGTCTCTACTAAAAATACAAAAGTCAGTGAGGTGTGGTGGCAGGCGCCTGTAATCCCAGCTACTCAGGAGGCTGAGATGGGAGGATCACTTGAACCCAGGAGGCGGAGGTTGCAGTGAGCCAAGATCGCGCCACTGCACTCCAGCCTGGGGGACAGAGCAAGATTCCGTCTCAAAAAATAAAATAAAATAAAATAAAATAAAATAGTAAAGTAAAATAAAATAAAAGCAGATATGGCCATATGATCATATTTTCATAAAGCAACAGTGTCTAGAGGGAAATATTCAGGAAGGATGACTGGGTGGAAGGATCCTATGCAGTTCTTATTTTCTTCTTTCTGCCTCTCTGGATTTCTCAGTATGTCTAAATGAACATATTCCACTTGAATATGCAAAAATAATTAAATGTTCCTAAAAGCCACCTGGGCCTCCCACAGGTGCTCCGGTGTTCCAGGTGGAGCCCCAGGACATGACAGTGAGATCCGGGGATGACGTGGCTCTGCGATGCCAGGCCACTGGAGAGCCCATACCCACCATTGAATGGTTGAGGGCGGGTCAACCCTTGCGGGCCAGCCAGCGACTCCGGACCCTGCCTGATGGGAGCCTGTGGCTGGAGAATGTGGAGACTGGGGATGCAGGCACCTATGACTGCGTCGCTCACAATCTCCTGGGCTCTGCCACAGCCCGGGCGTTCCTGGTCGTGAGAGGTACGGGGCAGCCCTGTCTGGACCTCTGTGGACAGAGGCAGGATCTCTTGCCAATGGGGATTGTGTGGTGCTTATGGGGGACCTGTCCCCTGCCTTGCCAGCTCCCCACCTCTTCCCTTTGCTTTGTCACAAGCCCAGAATGAACCCCTACCCTGCCGGTTTACAGTTGTGGAAACTGAGTCTTGGAGGTGCTAAGTGTTTGCCACTCATCTTGGACAGGGAACACTGGCCTGGCTGTTCTCTCTTAACTGGCACAAATGCATGTCCTCTGTCTGGACGCTGCACAGCCCCTGGAAGCAGGCAGAAGAAGTCAAGGGCATCCCTGGTGCCCTCAGGGGCTGCTGCAAAAAGTCTGTGGGTCAGTGCGTGTCCCAGGTGTCACACATTGCCTGGCCATGGCAGGTGGTTGGAAAAGTGATGGCTTCCTGGTGGGATGGACCCCTGCCATCTCAGATTCCTCAATCAGCTCCCTTCTCCCTTGGGTCAGACCAACTTTAAAATTAAGAAAAGATCTATCCTGAGAAACCACAGTAAATGGATTCGGCCCTGCATAAAGGCAAGTCATAAGATATTATTTCTGTGGCCTGTGCCTCCGGAGGGAACACTCCATATGTGTGCCGATGTGTCCCCCTCCCTGTACCTGGCAGACATCACTAATCTATCACCACAAGGGAACACTCCCTATGTGTGGCAGTGCATCTCCCTCCCTGTCCCTGGCAGACATCACTAATCTATCACCACATGTGCTGGCAGAATTTTTCTCCAATGAGCCCTCCCAGGCAGC